TTTTTCTTTTTCTTTTTCTTTTTCTTTTTCTTTTTCTTTCCCCTTTTTTTAGAATGTGATTCTTATGCCAATTAATCAGTTTTGGTTAGTAGCTCAGTATTTAGATCACAGGCCAAAGGGAAAACTTGCACATGTCCTACCTGAATTTTTCCTTTCTGATCCATTCATTACAAAAGTAATTCTGACAATGCAGCTAGACGGGGAAGACATACAAGAATTCCATGCTTTTGGGTCCCTAAGATTGTCCCTTCGTGAGCTTTATTTAAATTCCTACTGTACATTTTACCTCTGAGCTTATCATCAGCAACACGGTAAACTTCAGCATTTTATTTTGCCAGTCAGTCAACAACATGGAGCCAACAGAAACTGCAAGCTCTTTAAGAAGCTTTTCTCATCTGAGTTGTAGCAGTCTCTGGGGCAGAATCTTGCTCAAGATCACAAAAATGCTGGTGAGTTTACAAGCTTGTACCCTTTAACATAGTATCAAAGACTGCTTGACATTGTGGCAGGAACACCACAGAGGAGATCTGAGAATTCCCAAACAAACCCTCCCCTTCCCTATCAGAGCAAACTGGGAGAGCTCCCTTAGCAAGCAGCCCTGCACTTTCTTCCCTAATTGCTTCTTGCCAGGAGGAGAAACGGTGTTCCAAAGCACTGCGGAGACACCGTGGCACCTCAGCCTTCTGCTCTCCTGGTGACAGCCAACTAGACCAGGAGCTGAGCAGTTCTGCCAGTTGCAGCTCAGGATTGGTTCAGCTCACTAAAAAAATCCCTCTGGTAGAGTCAGGCTGTCTGTTACTGATGGTGTTTGGAGGGGCATTGTTGTAGCCCCGCAAATGATCCTCAGGCAAGACTTCCAAGCAGCAAAGCTGGCCAAAGCACTATCTTCACTTGCCACCGTCCCCTGCCTTACCTGGCTCAGCTGAGGTGATCCTCCTTGTGGTTAGGGTTTTCTCCAGACCCACTGAGGTTGTAATTAACCTTTCAGTTGTCTTCCATGGATGTGAGGCTCTGTTCTTGGGGAAAGCAGTGCCACTGCGCTTAAGTAACTGGAGTGGGTGAATCCTTTCCCAGGTGGCCCAGATTTTTGGGAAGGCTGCAGCCTATGGCCCACAGACTTCCTGGGTGTGTTGGGACTAACTCAGAGCTTCCATGTTGGGCTAGGTTTTACCAAGCTCAGATTAAAGACCCGAGGCTCTTGCGAGTGCCGTGGTGAAGTTCAACACAAAGCAATGTCCCATGGTGCCAGAATACGCTGCTCGTCCAAGGTGCTGCCAACAGTCTGGAGTGAAGGTAATTCCCAGCATTTCAGGGCTGGCCTTGGCTGAGATTAGCAAGCCTAACTTAAAAAAGCACTACCATAATTGCATGTTCACTGAGAAGTGGAAAAATAATCAAATGAAAAAGGACAAAACCAGCACAGAAAAAAAATTTATTTCCAAGTATCTACGAGAGAGCTACAAACAATAGAGACTAAAACTCAAAGCATATGAAACTATTAAAAAATGTAGTTGACAATGTCCTTCTTAAAAATTAAACATAAAAAATTTAGAAAATGCAGTTATTAATTCTAAAACTTGCTCAAAAGTGAAAGAAATCCAGATAGCATCAATGAGGATGGAATCCTACAAATTACCTTTTTTTAAATTTTATTTCAATGTGATACTAATTTCTTTTCTCTCTTTTTTTAAATGTTTATTTAAATTTATAATGGAGATATGTGCAAATCTAGCAAAATATTCTTTGGATTATAAACAGAGAAAAATAAACAACCAAAGAAATTTGAACCAGGTTAATAATAAACTATAGAATTATAGAGAATGCATACAGCTATAATAAAGTGAAATATTACAATAAACATAGAGCAAATCTGCTAATTTAGCAAACTCTGCCTTATAAAACATAGGGATATAATGGCACAAGTGAATATGTTATGGATATAGAGCTGAAACATCAGTCATCATTTTAAGGAGTTAAATTTTAATCTAACTACATATATGGGGGGGATCTTCAGAAAAGCAACACACCAACAAATCAGTTTTCCTCTCAGATCAAGCAGTTTGGTACCTGACTGCAAATGAAGGACAGGGTCTGTAAAACTAATGTAGGAAAATGTAGTTAATTTCTATTTATTGCCTCTTCCCATATTGCAGCTGCTGATCTCTGACCCTAAACAACCAACTATATTGAATTGAGCAGAGGTACAGCTGTACGCAGATGAAGAAAATGTTGATGTGCAGAACATATCCCAATCCCTTGCTCCTTCTGAACTAATACTTAAAAGAAAAAAAAGTTCTAGATTCCTTTTTGGATTAAAAACATGCATTACAAAAAACAATTCTGAAAGCAATTCTGTATTTCTGTTGTCACAAATTAAAATATTTCCCAATCTGCAGATGATGCTATTCTACTGGAAATTAGAAAAAAACCCCAAAAAAAAAAACAACTCCCCCCCACCCCCCCCCAAAAANNNAAAAAAAAAAAAAAACAAAAGAAAAATAGGAATTAAGTAAAAAAAAAAAAAAATCTACTCAGGTAAGGTGATTGTCAAAAAAAAAAAAAAATAGGGAAGTCACAGCTAAACTGGGTCAGATTTCAGTCTCTAGAACCTGCAGAAGCTCAGCAAGGCTGGAGTAAAGTGTAAGCGCAGAGTACGCCTGTCCACCCACAAAGCCACTCCTGAAGCCTCGGGAATCTCTAAGATACAAGATAAATGCATATTACATGGGACATCTTGAAAAGTATTACACTTAATTTAATCCAGAACACACAGTAGGACTATATGATGATTCTTACTGTGTTCTGGGAGCAGCCACAAGCTGTAGAGAGGGTACAAAATGTTCACCAGACGTTATATTTGTTTTAATCTAAAAAACATTTGTAAAATGTACTTGATTTTTAAATAATCACTTAACAAAGCAACAAACCATCTACAAACACATAATAAATAAGGCTATTAAAAGGTCACAATTGTAGTAAATTAGTCAGAACTATAAATGGGACATTAGAAACACTATGTTTTTCCTTATATGCTTAATAACCAGAACAATAATTAAAAAAGAATCAGTTTATTTCAAAGTCTGCTTCTTATATTGAAGCACATATTAAAGCAACAGTACAATGTTCATAAAATATAAGTGTGATGCTGTAACATTTCTTACATGTCAGAATACTGATATTTGTATGTATACTAAAATAAGAATTTTAAAATTGTACAAATAGATACATTAAAAATGACATAGAAATAGGGTGCCTTCCACCGAACAAGACAGAGTTTTTATATCTGGCATGTATTAGTTTAAGATTAAAGAATAAGCAAAAAGATTTACAAGAATCAGCAGTAACAAGTTTGATGCTCAAGAGACATAGTAATTGTACATTGTACTGTACATACACCATATGAGTTTAAGCTGGCTGAATATTATATATTTCAAGTTTAAAAATGCACTACCATATAGAGTGTCCATAGTTTAAGGCGAAATTACAGCTCAGAACTGTTATCTTTTCTAATTTGTGGAAGCTTCTTTGACATAAAAGATTTAGATGTTCATAACACATAAAAGATTTCCCTTATTTGTAGATTCGCTTTTAGCATTTTCCTTCATTTAAATATCTCGCATTTCTTAAGTGGGTTTTTTCCTTCAGTGAAGCTGGCAGCGAACTTCCAGATTTGCCTTTTGTAGGAGAAGGTACTTCACAGTATTTACCACTTTCATGTCCTTTTAATCAAAGGAATCCTCTCTGTCAAACTTAAATGTTTAAATGAGATTTCTCTTGTTTTTAAAAAAATACCTGCTTACATTTCCTCTGGATTCTTCAGAACTTCGGACACAGTTCTTAAGGCCAAATCTTAAACTTTATTGTTAAGAATCATCATCGAAAGTGTCTTTGGAGCCATACAAGTCTGCAAGTTTCTTAAATCGAGGTCCCCAGTTTTGTAGATAGTCGTAGTCCAAGTCAGAATCTGTTGTTGCTGACTCCAAGGAGCTGAGGGACCCAGCCACGGAGCCCCTGCCCTCGTAGCCATAGATCTGGATGGAGTCATAGGGAGGTGCAGTGGGGTCGTTATCAGCCTCCTGTATCCTGGTGTTGATGAAATCATCCACGTCCACGCTGTTGGGTGCGGGCCGCAGCCCCGGCCTGGGCAGGTACTGGTACTCGGGCTTGATGTCCTTGCGGGGCATGAAACCGTTGATGCCGTCAGGGTTCTGCAGCGTGGCGATGTCAAACGCCTCCGTGTCCTCCTCACCTCCGCCCTCATCATCGTACGTGATGATGTTCTCCCGCACATCTTCCTCCTCAAACACGATCAGGGGCTCTTTCTTCTGCCTCTTCAGGGTTACAAACAGCACGACAATGACTGGGGAAAAAAAAAATGCGGGTTAGACCGCACTGTCAAACAGCAGCTCCTTTGTAAGTAATTATTGCATCCCCAAGCCCTCGGCTTTTCTGATGGATTGTTGCAAACTTCTGCATTTTTAGTGCTGCTTGCTAGGAAAAAGCAGAGATGTTTGTACACAGAACTAAACACACTGATCTGAGGCTTTCTGTCTGAGCTGCATGCCAGGGCTCTTACTAATGGCTCATTACTGCGACACTAATTCAAGGGAAGTGCTTGTGGGGCCCCAAGTACTGCAGAACACTGTGACACTGCCTTTGAGCAGCCCAAGCACATGAATATCTGCAACGAAACAAAGATGAATCTTTATCCTCTCTTGTATGCCCAAAATTTAACTCTAATTCCAAAGTGTCGTTTCCATTAAAATGGAATTTTTTTAAGCAACACCCCCAAAGACGTATTTGTTTTGCATTCTCACTTCAAATTTCTATAAAATAAAGTATATGAGAAAGGACACACTATAAAATACTACAGGGAAATTAGAAAATATTGTGTAATTTTTTTTCCAAATCCTCAAGAAACATTTTGCAGCACTTTCTTAATAGCAGGTCTTCCAAACCACTCATCTGTCTTCAACACAAGATAGGTTTGAGGGAAATAGCTGGCAGGGGCCATTAATCCTGGCTGACTTCAATAAGGAACTTGCCATCCAGGGAAGATCACAAAACTTAGAACTGTATGTCATGACCTCCTTTAAGCAGTGTCCCTGATTAGCTGGCATTAGGCCACAGAAGGACATTCTCCAAGCAGATCTATGCAAATACACTGGTGTTTGCTACTGAAGATATCACAGAAGCCCAGAATGATTTAGGATGGAAGAGATCATAAAGTTCATCTCATTCCATCCCCTGCCATGAATATTTTTGACTCTCCCAGGCTGCTCCAGCCCCAGTGTCCAACCTGGCCTTGGGCACTGCCAGGGATCCAGGGGCAGCCACAGCTGCTCTGGGCACCTGGGCCAGGGCTGCCCACCCTGCCAGGGAACAATTCCTGATTCCCAGTATCCCATCCAACCCTGCCCTCTGGCACTGGGAGCAATTCCCTGTGTCCTGTCCCTCCATCCCTGGTCAATTGTCTCTCTCCATCTTTCCTGCAGCTCCTTCAGGCCTGCCCTGCAAGGCCACACTGAGCTCAGCCCAGATCCTCTCACAGCCAGGCAGATCAACACTCCCTACAAAAATAAAAGCTGAAAAATTCAGATTTATTTCTCCATCTTGGAGCTGAGGGCAAGATTTTTTTTAACACAAGCCCAGCCAAGCAGCAAGGAAGGAACATTTTTCACCTAAGAGAATGACGATGCAGGCCAGGATGGCGATGAGGGCGCCGGTGCTGAGCCCCGCATTGAGCACGTAGGCCTCGGCATTGCAGGACAGCAGGGAGCCGCTGCCGTCGCAGCCGCACACGCGGATGGTCAGCGTGTTGGTGCTGCTCAGCGGGGGCACGCCGCCGTCGCTGATCACGATGGGGAGGAGGTACAAATCCTGCTTCTGGCGGCTGAACCCTTCCCGTCTGACCAGCACACTCGCTGTGTTATCTGGTTGAAGAAGACAGAGAATCATCATTAATTCTTCCACGGGGTTGTCCTCCTAGCCAATATTGAAAAGGAAATTATCTCGCTGCAAAAACTCTCAATTTTCTTTGGCTTTAGAGTTATTTCTACAATAAACCAGTGGAAAGTGCTGCCTTCCTAATGACCCAACAGCCATTACATGATTATATTTAATTAATATAGCACCACACTCAGTTTTAATCTCAGTTTTAATTCTTTAATTAACACAAGCAACACAGATAATCTCTGTCTGATAGCACATTTTAGTATCTGTAACTTTCTGAGAAATTCACAATATTTTTTCAACTACCCAAATGTCTGGACCTTCTTATTGCTGCCTGATCTGGTTTTAGTGTCTCTCCAAAATTAAAGTGTTCAATGGAGGGGTAAAAGTAAAACCCATATCTCCCTTATGTGTTCTTGGTATCACATATAAAAGCATGGTAGACACTGTCCCCAAATGGGATCTGATAATGAGACTCCCACCATAACAAAAGCCAATATTTTCTGTGTATGAGCAAATTTGAGCCTTGTTGTTTCAGTAACAAATGCTGAAGGTAACAGCATTTTATCAGAATCTGGTTTTCACCCAAACTTCCAAAGCCAGAATTCAGAGAGCTTGATCATACATGCACAGTATATCTGGGCACATTTTGTATCACATGGATGTGAGGAAGAGTTAAATCACAAAATCAAAAATGCCCTGAGTTGGAAGAGAACCACAGGGATCCAAGAGTCCAACTCCTGGCAGTATTGCTGTAACTCTGTTCCCACTGTCCTCACAAGAAGTGACCTGCCATGGTGCAGGGGACAGAAAATAAGTTGCCATCTCAGCACAGGACATTTTGGATGGTCCTGCATACTTCCTCTGGCTTAAACCTTGGAAAGGGGACAGTGTGAGATGACACCCTGGGCTGAGGCAGCCTGTGCTTCCTGTTCTCAGGGAAGCACCAACAGGGCTCCCTTGTGCCCCTGCTCTCTTTCTCAGCTCAGTCTAAACCAAAGTTTATATCAGTTGTACACATCCCAAAGTAAATAAAGTGAAGTATTCACATCCATGGTTTTCAGACCTTCAAAAGCCAGTTTATACTGAAGATTTAGTCCATACAACCTTTCCTGGCTTGCTATGTTCTTTATTTTTCACTGTATAACATAAAGGGGGGGAAAAAAGACCAGTTCTTTTATCTGCTGAGGGAGGGCTGTTCATCTCCAAAGGTATCTACATTACTGCTGCCTCAGGCTTTTGCAGATTAATTGTTTCCTGTTGAAGAGTCAGCATAAATCCCAGAATTTAATAATGCAAACCATAAAACCTCTCCTAATGACCTAATCACTGTGATTTCCATGGAAATCTGTGAATAAATTATACCCAAAGAAAAGTGTTCTTGCCTTGCATTAACCACCCTTGCAGGCAGTGCCCCTGATGTAGGACAAGGTCTGAAACTACCCCCAAATTTGGTAAATCTATGGGATGAGGAGGATGTTTGCACAGATTTACTCTCCCAGGAACTTCACCAGAAAAGAGGAATATTTAAGCTGGAGCTGTTTGTTACACACCAAATGAATCCATCCCCCGTAGCTGCCCCTGGCTGACAGCCCACACCCCTGGTGCCCTGAATGGCCCCCTGGGTGTGACAGAACTGTTGCTTTTTGGTGTTGAGTTTCACAAAAACAACAGCTGGGTACAAATGAGCTTGTCAACTTCTCCTTTGCACAATGTCACACTTGCTAAGGACAGAGACACTGATAAAGATCTGATTGTTTATTACTTGTGCCTTTTGGAGCTGTTAAGTGTCTCCCTCAGAGTCCTACTAATCTCCTGAATGTTTACATGCACTATCTAAACTTTGAGGCACAATTTTTTACAGGACCTTGGTGATATCAATGTCTGCATGACAAAAGCCTTATTTTAGGACTTTAAATTAATGGACTTGTAACACTTTGGTGCAGATAGAATACAACATCTAATATCTATTAGCCTATCAGCTAACTTAAATTAATATGTTGATCCAGAACAAAATATTCCCCAGAGTCCTCCAAAATGCACTTAATAATTAATTTCCTCAATGGGATAACCAAGATCTGCTCCATTAAATGAAAAATCACAACAGGGCAGATTATTCTTGTGGCAAAAAATATGAACATTAACAGGGGGCTGAACTACAGCTGCCTCAAGGCTGCAAAGGCAATGTGCAAGTAATGACAATAACATGTATTAGTATATATAGTCTTTGGCTATACATTTCTTATATTTTATTTTTCTTGCCTTTGTCAGCTGAAATAGCATTCCTAGTTAAAATTAAGAAAAGGATGGCAAATTATTCAGATGTTATACAGACTGGCCTGGTCCACTGCAGTCACTTATACTAAAAAAACCTGATTTTGAGCCAATGGTTGATTTATCTGTTTTAATGGGAAATGATTTTTGGTTTAACATAAATTTTTAAAAAGAAAAATCTAATCAACATGCCTGGCTAAAGTTTAAAAAGGACTACAATACATCCAGTCTAAAAGGTCATTTTTTCAACTTTTCCTTTTACTGTTTAGGTTCACTTCTTGCATTTAGTAGAAACATAATATCCATAAGAAGAAAAAGCCCCCGTTTCTTACCTAGAAAAAAGATAACATATAATCCCAGCTAATATTCTCATCCTTGCTTTTTTATTATTTTCAAGGCCCAGGAGTAGAACTATAATCCTGGTAAAATGGCATTTTTTAAGCCAACAGAAGTTAAATGTCAATGCCAGCTTAAAACTATTACTTAACACATATGGGAGCTACTTGACTGTCAGTCCTAATGAACACAATGGGAGTTAACACAAAAAGGAAAGGAACAGTCATCTCAAGGCCATTCCCAAAATATCACATTTTCCCAGTTATTATTGCCTTGGCTTTCCAATATTCAAAGATGTTGCAGGCAAAGATTCCCTGTGCTCTCCATGAAATCTTCACAATTAGAAGCTAAAATTGCATTATTCTTGGTGATACTTATACTGATCTCTCTGACCCTTGATTTTTGTCTTTTTCTCTGGTGATCTTATTGATGATTTCCATTTTTTCCTGTGCATAGGCAAATGCAGCTTAGTTTTTGGGGGCTTGTTAGCACATAGGTCGTGTAAGGAGTATTCTAGATTACAGGAGCTGACTGCAGTTTGAACTTTCTCAACTATGAGGTATGAGGTGTGAGGGCTGATTCAGTTAGAAAATGAAACTATTTCAGGGGTCCAGCTGTCTAAAATCTTTACCTTACCAGGAGTGGCAATCACTGTGGATAATCCATGGCAAAATCCTGTGACTTGATTGTTTGTGTGTTTCAAAATTTTCTTGCTGAAAAAGTGTGAAGCACATGTTTGAATTTAAAAAGTAGAATTTAGTCACTGATTTTTGGGGCTCACAAGTTTAATTTCAGGCTCTGCAAAGCTCTATCTTGTGAGTTTGGGACTGCAGCCATTCCAGTAATGCTGGGCTGAGGGAGCTCAAGGAAAGGGCATTTCAGCACAGGACCCAGCAGGGTCAAAAGCAGGAAATCCATATACTCAAAATCTGCCTCTTTGCTGTGAAGTGCCATGAGCCTCTGCTGCTGTTTTGAAGGCCTGACTTCAGTGGGAGCAGAACTGAGCAGAGCCTGGGTAGACAGTGCTGTTTGTTTATGAGCTATAATATAAGGAAACAGTGCAAAAGTAATTCTGTGTTTTATCCCAGCGTGGACTAAGCCATTATCTTGTGTTTTCCATGGGAGATGGGCTCAGCTAAAGACTTGGTAACACAGTGGGCTATTAATAGGATGTAGAATGTGATTATGCTTTTTTGGATTACTGCAATATGTGATTACTTTCAGGAGCTGGTAAAAAGAAACTCTATTAAATGATAATTATGGGACTGTATTCACTTTAAAGTTCTGTAATAGGCCCAAACACTGGATTTTTCATTAACTGTTCTCCACAGTTAATAAAGCCATTTTTCTCTGAAAGTAGCAATTCCCTCTGAAAGCTGTGGCATGGCTTATAAAATACTCAGACTTACCACTGAAAAAAACAACTTTGAATGACCATGGACAATATTTGACTTGCAAATGGTAACACACTCTCCCTAAGAAGTTTTTTTATATAGGAGTACACAGAATTTTAAATTTTTTACTTTGTTCAAGTATAACTTTTAAAAACTCACAAGAATATGTAAATTAACAAGATAATTGCATTGAGGATTGAACAAAATGAGGGAAAGAAAGGATGGAAATGAATGAATTTTCTCAGAATATTTATTTCACAAAAAGAAAATTATGTGGGAAGATTCAATCCCTTAATCCTATCTTCTTGAAATAACCTTTTGCATTATTGTCAGGTAGAAACCTTATACCAAACTGACATCATAATTTCAACTACAACACATTTTTATCTGGGTGAATTTTGTCAGTAACGAATTTGTCAGTTTATGGAAATGAAGGATGAGTGGGATTAGCTGGAGTCAGGAACCATAATACAACTCAGAGTATCTCCACTCTGAGCTGCACTTCCTTTGCTAGATTATAAAATATAATCTATTTTCAGTTTGATGTAGTGACCATAAAATGTATTTTATAGCAAAACTTGGCCTCTGGGTCTCAAGCAAAGAATACGTGCTGATTTACTCCTCTCTAAAAATACACCCATGAATTTTTCAAAACTTGTGTTTTACTACTTTAAATATATGCCCTGCACTGGCTCCATTATGAATTGCTATGTATGTACAAACGTCAAGCACCAGGCAACAGTATTACTTTGATCAGTCAAGAATAACAGAGTTTTGTTTGGGAACTGTAATGATAATTGCCCTCCCTTCAGATGTGGAGAGAGATATAAAGTGTGCCTCAACAGAACAGTTTTTACTGAAATCATGTATCTGGATATTTTTTTTTTTTTTTTTTTTTTTTTTTTTTTTTTTTTTTTTTTTTTTTTTTTTTTTTTTTTTTTTTTTTTTTTTTTTTTTTCAGTTTGCCCACTTCCTCTGGCTCCCTCAGCCTCTGGCAAGTTTGGGTCACTGATGTTATTATGTTGTGATCAATTGAATTTTGACATTCACCCAGGCCTGAGGTTTTTTGCTTACAAATTTCTTTTACATCTCGCCATCAGAGTGCAAAGCTCTATTTTGTGAATACCAGATTGGCAAAGGGATCAGGATATCCAGATCCTGAGACAGCCAGCACAGGTATATTCCACAGCACAAATCACCATTTAATTTCCTGCACTGGGCACTGATTTGATTCCATTGGGAATCTAGCCCATGTCTCTTATGATTCATAATTTACAAAAGCTGGCAGGCACAGTGGTAAACAAATACAAGCAGCCTAATGATTTATGCTGTCTCAGCTAGTTTTAGGTTTGTCTAAATCAGGGACATCTGCCAATTCCATTTACTGAGTGTTTGGCAGTGGTTTTATCCTCTTCCTGGGAGATAAAATGGCAGTGGATTCTTCCTGTTGGTTATTACTATGTAATTTAAAATATGCATTCAAGAAAATTCAAGTGAGAATGTAGGTATCAGATTCAGTCAAAAAGAGAAAGTTTCTAACAAGGCAGAAGCCTGGGAATCTGTTGGAAAATAAGGTAAATAAGGTCTTTTATCTCTCTTGTTTTTCACATTGTTTATAGTTAAGTTCTACCACTGTGCGTCATGCACTGTGCACCAATGTTGTTAGTTGTTTTCACTTCAGGACCAAAGGAATTGGCCTGGACAAAGCTCTGTATAAAGAGCGATGCATTGTGAAATAAATCAGAGTTTTACTCTCTCAACCTTCTGACTCAGTCTCTTCATTCCCATCCTGTCTCAAAAGCATCATGAGTTAACAAATATCCCACTTTCCCAGGAACATCCTTGCATCTCAGCTGTATGCTTTTGCCTTCCTCCCCTAAATCTTGGAGAAAGACACTCTGCCAAAGTTAATGACAATGCTTTTGCATAACATTACATTGGCCATTAGTTCTACTTTGTCATTTTGTTGGATTCTGGTAGAGTGGGAATCTTCACACAAACCTCTGTTGTCTCTGAGTGTAAAATTTGGATTATGAATAATTTCAGGTGGTAAACTGAAGATAAATCTTGGTCCATTGGCTGAGTCATCCTTGTCATCAGCACTAATTGTAATAAATTGCTGCAAAAGAAAAGCACTCAGTAAACAAACAGCTCCTTCTCTGGGTACATCACATACAAGCAGCGTTCTGAGACAGCTATTGAGTAAGAATTGTAAAATAGCAGAAGCCACCTCAAATACAAATATAAGTAATTAGAAGCACAGAGACAACTGCAAACTACAACAGGCAATCTTTAATTACTATTGCATTAACAACCCCAGAATTACAGCTGTAAAAGCATACACCTTCAACATTCTTATACACAAATATGTGTTAATGGTAACACAACAGATTAAATAAAATTCTGCAGAAAACTCAGCAGCTGAGAAAGTCTCTTTTAAACTGCTACACTGACTGTAAAGGCAAAGATCATGTGCAGAGCTGTATTTCTCTATGTTCCTAACCTCTCTCCCTCATAGATTGCCAGGAATAAATCTGTTGAGTAAACTCTACAAGAACTGCACTGGGATTCTTCCTGTAAGACACTGAGTATTTCTGCAATATCCAAACCAGTCTCACAACTGGGAAAGCTGCCCCCAGCTCCACTGGCCCTGTGCTGGTGGATACTCCCAGCCAACACCAATCCCACTCCATGCACAAAGGACTGTATAACTGCTGATAGCAGTCCAGAAATAAAGTGCCTTTCTGGGTGCTCAAGGCTTTCTGGTCAAAACCTCAAAACAAATGTTCATTTATTCCCTCTCATTGGAGCTGATAGGACAAACCTGGGCTAATGCCCTGAGGGAAGAGCTGTGTGTGCAGGGAGGTGGGGGGAACAGGGAAGGTGGTGGGTAAAGGGAAGGTGGTAGGCCTGGAGGAAGCGGTGGGAACAGGACGTGTTGGGAACAGTGAAGGTGTTGGGCACAGGAAGGTGGTAGGAACAGGGAGGTAGTTGGAACAGAAAGATGGTGGGCACAAAGCAGTGGACAGAGAAAGGTGGTGGGCAAAGGGAAGGTGGGCCAGGTGAGGCTGGTGGGCAGAAGAAGGTGGTAGCACAGGGAAGATGGTGGGCACAGGGTGGTGGTGGGCAGAGGGAGGTGATGGGAAGAGGGAGGTGGTGAGAACAAGGAAGATGCTGGCCACAGGATGTGCTGGGCAGGCCATACCTGGTTGCTTCGGGCATTCTCACACACGAAGGCTTCGTAGGCAGCTGCAAACTTGGGAGCATTGTCATTGACGTCAATGACCTTGATTGCAACGGGAACTTTGGCTTCCTGGTGCTGTTTGTCTGCAGGAGAGACAACACTGATATGAGACAGAAGCAGGAAAACCCCTCAAAAGAAAAAAACAGTTCCAAACTGCATCCAAAGAAAGATCAAATATGGGAAAGATCAAATATGCTGAGGTATTTCTGCTGAGATTTCTTGCAGTTTATCAAACTCAGACAATTGGAGGATTACAAGATTCATACCACTGATTCTAAAATACCTCAGTGAAATACTCACGGACTTCAACTGCAAAGACAGAGATATTATGCCAAGCCATTTCTTCCCTATCCAAAGCCTTTATTGTCTTGATATTGCCATCTTCTGCATTAATAACAAAATATCTTTCAAGGTCAGTGTGTCGATCAATTGAATATCTAAAGAAGATTGAAAGTCAGCAATTAGAGGAAAGACGAACTTAGGAGTTTCATGCATCCAGATTTGTTCTATATTATTATTAATTCTAAATAATTCTAAGTAGTACACCTATTGTGACCCTCAATATCATTGTCAAAAGGACGATATGTGTTCTTTTAAAAGGAGAATCACCTGGTTGGTTTCTACATTTAGAAAAACAGTACATCAGAATGTTTGTAATAAGTGAAAATGCTAGTCTTTGAAGTCTCTATATCAAAGCCCTAATACACTCTTTATTTTCTTCTCTTCTAAAACATGATAAAAGTATCTACTGAGATATTTTTTTATCTTCTGTTTCATATTAATCTTGTTGATCTTTTAAGTCTTCCAATCTTTGGTTTACTTGGAATATTAATTGATCATACCAATTTATCAGCTATTATCCACGTTCTGCACATTTCTACAGCTTTATACAGCTCTGACTTTCATGACTTCACATTGAAATTCTTTTAAATGTTAAGTATACCCACAAAAGAGGTCTTCATAATTTAAGTTACACTGAGAACATGACAAATAAAATTAAACTAACAGAAGGCTATTGTAAGAATTCTTTACTATGAGGGCTGGGAGACCTTGCCACATGTTTCCCTGAGAAACTGTGGCTGCTCCTGGCAGTGTCCAAGGCCAGGTTGGACACTGGGGCTTGGAGCAGCCTGGGACAGTGGAAGGTGTCCCTGCCCATGGCAGGGGGTAGGAATGGATGAACCTTAAGGTCTTCCAGCCCAAATCATTCCATGAGTCTGTGATTCCAAGACAGTCCGACATAACTGCAGAAAGTAGGGGCCTGTGGGGGCTTGTCTTTAACAATTAACACTTAACAATTTCCCAGCCCAATCCATAATCTATATCTTAGACTTTGATATGTTGAGAAAAATCCATGCTGGGATAACAGCACAAGATATTTGTGGAAAATTTAATTTAGAATAGATTTTACCAAAGATTCCCTTAAGTATATTTTAATTTGACATAGCTGTAGTGTGATACAGGCTTTAAGAAACTGGCAGCTTGTGGAACAGGCACAAAAACAATGCTAGATGGTTAAACTTTCCATATTCTGGGTGTCTGTAGATCTGTCACACTGTCTTCAGAACTTGCCTAACCATTCCAAAAGCCAATGCTCAGAAGGAAACAGGAAATCCAGCAAACCTTAGGGCACTGTTGGCAGCATCCGGGTCTTTGGCATGTACTTTTCCAACCACAGTACCAGATGCTGCATTTTCCTGTACTTCAAAAATGTAACTTGGCTTCAGAAACACTGGTGGCTCATCAGCATCTTCCACTGTTATTTTCACTGTCACCGTGTCCTTGAAGGGCCCATTGCTGATGAACTTGGGGTCAATGTGGACATTGGTTGCCTCCACCTTCAGGCTGTAGGACTTTTTGCTTTCATAATCTAAGGTCTGTGAGAAACAAGAGGACAGGGCATTCCAGAGTCAGGGAAACCAGGCTGTAAGAGCAGCAGGCAGTGCCCTAGTGTTCAATGACATCAAACAAAGGTGAGCGTCTGTCAGTGAACTTGGACTGAAATGTGTGTATTTAAAAACATAAAGACTCAAATGGAAGGAGCTACATTCTATGTATGGAGCAGCATAGGAAGGCACTCAAAATATCACCACAGAGTCCTGGTCTTGCTTTTTGCTTGCTGTATCAATCATCTGTACTGGAAATATAAATTTTGTCTCCATCCAACCTTCCAGGCAGCACAAAAGTGCAAAGGATGGGAAAGGCGCTCCCACAAGAGGCCTGGCTTTATCCAGGCTGGCAGGCATTCCCCATGGATGTGGTTTGAAGTGCTCCTGGGTCCACCATGAGATAGCATACTGATAAGTTAAATTATTCAGGTAGTGGGGAAAATGCAAAGATGGTTTGCAGTGCTTTCATTCCTGCAGTTCTTTCCCACCACAGAACTCATACAACTTTCCAAAGAGAAGATGGAATAATGACCCATGGGACAAGTCCTTTTGGGAGCCTGATCAAAGCTATGGCGCCTCTTCACCTGCATGGGCATGAAGTGGCTGCAGGGTTGCACCTCAAAATGATCATGCAGGTGACAACCATATTTCACAAAGTATGTTAACACCAGTGAAGTGGAGTGACAGCTCACTCACATTTCAAAACACACATAAAATCCACTCCCACCTCTAGAACAGAGACAGAAATTGACCCAGGGCAATTTTGAGCAGAGGAGACCTCTGGGTCCCCCCACAAGGGTCTGCCCTAAAGGGCAGGGCAGGGTTGACCAGAAGTTGACAAGGTCTTCTTCTTTGACTTCTGATTATCTTCAAGAGAGATAAATAGCTCAAAGATAAAAAGGGCAAAATGATAATGCTTCCATAATAGTACAATTTATGTTCTGAAATTTGCAATTTAAAATTAATGCTTAATAATTAATAATGCTTTCAAAGTTCCTGCTGACAGGCTGTGTGCGAAATCCCCTCTGCTGCTTTTTCCATAGCCTGTGACTCCTTCAGAACACTATTGTGGACAATGCACAGCTGAAAAATTCAAACTATAGGGCATGAGGCTTTTCAGACTGAACATGAAGCAACAGTGAATGTCTGCTACTTATCAGCTCTAAGCAAAACTTCATTAACAATGAAGCTGATGGCATCATATTTTACCGTGACTTTTTATTATGAATTCATTTAGTTTGTGCAATTAATCCACTGTACAGTATTTATGTAACTCTTCTTGGTTATTTTCTTCCATTCCAATTCAGCTAATGGGGAAATGGAATATTAAGAGTTAATCACACCTTGAGCAATTAAGTGAAATTTGCATTTACTAATTTTAGCTTAGGTAGTAATCCATTATTACCAAATATTCTGTTAGCAACAAAAAAAACACTATATAGCAGTAGGCATCACCCACCTTCTTAAGCTTCACAACCCCTTCCTGAGTCTCATAATCTGTGGTGATTTCAAACATGTCCATGCCATCTCCATCGATGATGCTGTAAGCTACCAAGCCATTCTCCCCAATGTCAGGATCTTTGGCCTTCACTCTCCCCACTTCCTCTCCTGGGACAGCTGCTTCCAACACCGACATCTGGTACACACCTGGGCCAGAGAGAACAGGGAAAATAGGCATATGCCCCAAGTGAGCAAGCTGCTCCCCACTTGTGTGTTTACTCTTTGATCTTGAGTTCCAAATAAACACAGTGATTTTTGGCATTTTCACTCCCCTGAAGGAATGCTGTGTTCTGTTCTGCTCTGTTTCAAAGAGCTTTGAGCAGCAAAGGTGAGGGTCTTTCAGCTGTGAAACCTTAACCCACATGGATAATGTGGATAATAAACATGACCTCCTACCTGTTACCCCTCTGCTCAGGGAGGGATGTGAAAGGACAACTAACCACCGAAAAGGCAAAAATTGTTGTGGTATCAAGGTTTCCATTGATAGCAGAGATGTTATTACAAAAATGGAAGGAAAACTCTCTCTCATGTTGTCTTGGTTTGAAAAGACAGGAGTCTGTGAAGGAAAGCAAGAGCCTCCTGTGAAACGGAAAAGGTAAACCCCCTCCCTCCAAATTACCACAATTTCAAAATTAAAAGGCTCTCAGGTCAAGATATGGGAATGGAAGTAACAGTTCTTTACTAGGAAAAACAAAAACTAAATTAAAAAAAATGTAATTAGTACAAACAAAACTAGTGATAGAGTCAGAAACCTGACACCCTGAGGAGTCAGGGTGTTGGTAATAGTCCAGTTAAATAGTGGCTGCTCCTCCTGCAGTGGCAGATGAAATGCTGCTGAAGAGGTGGTCTGTAGAAGGGTGTAGTTTTCTCTGAAGGTCTGGTGATGGAGTAGATGGGCCTGGTTTTCCTCTGGGAATCCAGCAGAGGAGAAGCTGCTCCTCTGGGAATCCAGCAAAGGAGCTGCTCTGATGTTCCAAAAATGCTGATTTTACGCAGGTTGGGATGCTTGGCTCCTCCCTCTGGGTGGAGCATCTCACAATGGGATGATGGAACTTTACCAGTCATGCAGTGAGTCATTCAATGGCCATTAACAGAAGATATCTCCCTGGAGGGAGATTTTCTTATCTCCCTGGAAGAGATAAGAAAACTGCCCAACCTCCAACAGATGGCAAATAGAATACATGCTTCTCTTACAAGACAGGACATTATCCGCCCCTTATTCTATTTCCATCTGCATCACAATGAAATCTTACACCCAGTTCTCACTTAAGACCAGGTTTCCCTGTGGTACACAATTGGGTTTCCCCATCTTTCTGCATTACCCACCAAGTGTAACCAGGTCCTTGAGCAAAAACAATCCCATGGATGGGTTTGTCTTTGACTGAGGTGGGATTAATCCAAACAGTTTTCCCTAAAATGCCTTTCATATGTACCACAGGGACTTTATCTCCATCCACTCTGTGCAAGGGTTTTAACTAGGCAGGACCAGCTCCATTGATGGACCCTCGGGTGTTGACCATCCAGGTTGCTTTTGCCAGGTTAATTTCCCAGTTTCTAAATGTTCCCCCACCAAATGCCTTTAGGGTAGTCTTAAGGAGTCCGTTGCACCGTTCAACTTTGCCGGCAGCTGGAGCATGATAGGGAATATGATATATCCATTCGATACCATGTTCTCTGGCCCAGGTGTTGATAAGGCTGTTATTGAAATGGGTGCTGTTGTCAGATTCAATTCTCTCAGGGGTGCTATGTCTCCACAGGATTTGCTTTTCCAGGCCCAGGATGCTGTTCCGGGCAGTGGCATGAGGTACAGGGAAAGTCTCCAGCCATCCAGTGGTGTCTTCCACCATGGTCAGCACGTAACGCTTGCCTTGGTGTGTCTGGGGCAGTGTGATGTAGTCAATCTGCCAGGCCTCCCCATAGCTGTACTTGTTCCATCGCCCACCATACCACAGGGGCTTCACCCGCTTGGCCTGTTTGATGGCAGCACAGGTCTCACAGTCATGGATAACCTGAGAAATACTGTCCATGGTTAGATCCACCCCTCGGTCTTGTGTCCACTTGTAGGTGGCATCTCTGCCCTGATAACCTGAGGCATCATAAGCCCATCGAGCCAGGAACAACTCCCTCTTATGGTGCCAATCTAAGTCTATCTCTGACACCTCTATTCCTGCTGCCGATCTACCTGCTCGTTGTTTCAGTGTTCCTCATTAGCCCAACTTTTGGGGACATGGGCATCTACATGATGGACTTTCACCTTTAGTTTCTCCACCCGAGAGGCAATGTCTTTCCATATATCAGCAGCCCAGATTGGCTTTCCTCTACGTTGCCAGTTGGCCTTCCTCCACCTTCCCAGCCAGCCCCACAGAGCATTGGCTACCATCCATGAATCAGTATAAAGGTAGAGCTTTGGCCACTTCTCCCTTTCAGCAATGTCCAGAGCCAGCTGAACGGCCTTGAGTTCGGCGAGTTGGCTTGATCCACCTTCTCCTTCGGTAGCTTGTGCAACTTGGCGTGTGGGGCTCCATACGGCTGCTTTCCACTTCCGGTTCATCCCTACGATGCGACAGGAACCGTCAGTGAAAAGAGCGTAGCAGGTCTCCTCTGCTGGTAGTTGGTTGTATGGTGGAGCTTCTTCAGCCCTTGTCACTTGTACCTGCTCCTCGTCGTCAGTGAGAGCAAAGTTTTCACCTTCCGGCCAGTTCGTAATTATCTCCAAAATCCCAGGGCGATTCAGGTTTCCAATACGGGCGCGCTGAGTGATGAGGGCAATCCATTTGCTCCATGTGGCGTCACTGCATGGTGGGTAGTAGGAACCTTCCTTTTAAACATCCACCCCAGCACTGGCAGTCGGGGTGCCAGGAGGAGTTGTGCTTCCGTGCCAATCACCTCTGAGGCGGCTTGAACTCCTTCATAGGCAGCCAAGATTCCCTTCTCTGTTGGGATGTAGTTGGCTTCGGACCCTCTGTAACTTTGGCTCCAGAATCCCAGTGGTCAGCCTCGAGTCTCACCAGGCACCTTCTGCCAAAGGCTCCAGGACAACCCATGGTTCCCGGCTGCAGAGTAGAGCACATTCTTGACCTCTGGTCCCATCCCAACTGGGTCAAGGGCTACAGTATGAGCGATCTCCTGCTTGATCTGGGTGAAGACTTGTTGCTGTTCAGGGCCCCAGTGGAAATCGTTCTTCTTGCGGGTAACCAGGTATAGAAGGCTCACAATCTGGCTATACTCGGGAACGTGATTCTCCAAAAACCTATGGCACCTAGGAAAGATTGTGTTTCCTTTTTGCTGGTTGGTGGAGACATCACCGTGATCTTGTTGATGACCTAGTGGGAATCTGGCGCCGTCCATCTCACCATTTCACTCCCAGAAACTGGATCTCTCGGGCAGGTCCCTTGACTTTGCTCTTCTTGATGGTGAAGCCAGCTTCTATCAGTATCTGGATGATCCTCTCACCTTTCTCAAACACTTCTGCCACTGTGCTCCCCCACACAACGATATCATCAATGTATTGCAGGTGTTCTGGAGCCTCACCCTTTTCTAGTGCAGTCTGGATCAGTCCATGGCAGATGGTGGGGCTGTGTTTCCACCCCTGGGGCAGTCGGTTCTGGGTGCACTGCACGCCCCTCCAGGTGAAAGCAAACTGAGGCCTGCATTCTGCTGCTAGAGGAATGGAGAAAAACACTTTGGCAATGTCAGCCATGGCGTACCACTTTGCTGCCTTGGACTCCAGCTCGTACTGGAGTTCCAGCATGTCCAGCACAGCAGCACTCAGTGGTGGAGTCACTTCATTCAAGTCATGATAGCCTACAGTCAATCTCCATTCTCTGTCAGAGTTGTGCACAGGCCAAATGGGGCTGTTGAAGGGTAAGTGGTTTTTTCTGACCACCCCTTGGCTCTCCAGCTCACGAATCATTCTGTAGATGGGGATCACGGCATCTCAATCCATCCGATACTGCTGGTGTTGCACTGTCGAGGTCGCAATTGGCACTCGTTGCTTAGGAGTCCTACTGCAGACGGGTTTTCTGACAGTCCAGACAAGGTGTTTAATTGCTTAATGTCCTCTGCCTCTACAGCAGCTATTCCAAAAGCCCACCTGAGTCCCTTTGGGTCTTTGTAATAGCTGTTCTGGAGGAAGTCTATGCCCAGAATACACGGGGCCTCTGGGCCAGTCACTACAGGATGTTTCTTCCACTCCTTCCCAGTCAGGCTCACCTCAGCTTCCACCAGAGTCAATTGTTGTGATCCCCCTGTCACACCAGCAATGGAAACAGGCTCTGCCCCCACATGTCCCGATGGTATCAGAGTACACTGTGCACCAGTATCAACTAAAGCATCATATTTTTGTGGCTCTGATGTGCCAGGCCATCGGATCCACACTGTCCAGAATATCCGGTTTTCCCGTGCCTCTCCCTGGCTAGAGACAGGGCCCCTCTAACACTGGTTATCATTCCTTTCCTGGGCATACATACTAGAGGTCCCTTCAAGGGGATCTGACAGATCGTACCCACAAGCTTGGTCACGGGAGGTTGAGGCTACCTTCACTTTGGTGGAACTCCCCCGGTTAGAGTTTCCCTCCTTAAGTTGACGGACCCGTGCTGCCAGGACAGAAGTGGGTTTCCCATCCCACCTCCCCATGTCTTCCCCATGGTCACGCAGGAAGAACCACAGATTAGCCCTTGGGGTGTACCCTCTCTCTCTAGCTGGGGAATGTTGGGCTCTGACTTTGGGGCCTGTGACTTGCACAGGTGCTGCATTAACCTTCCTCATCTCCTCCCTCATCTCCTCTTTGAACTCCTTAATCACAGCTGAGATATGAACCTGCATTGGGCCATTGATCATACTCTCATAATTCCTAAGTTTGTTGGCAATAGAGCCCACTGTCTCTCAGTTAGTGTCAGCATCAATTGTTGCAATGAAAGTGGTGTAATGAGATGGTCCAAGATTTGCTAGACTCCATAGCATTTGCCCTGTGCACCTGACCTTGTCAGGGTCATTATCATGCTGTCCATCCCTCCCAAAGAGTACCTCCAATGCTGCCACTTCCCTCAGCTGTTGGATCCCTTCCTCAAGGGTTTTCCAGCACATTCTATGATGGTGCTCCTGCATTCTCTCCCTGTGGACAAACCTCTCTCTGACACTCATTAAAATCCACTCCCAGAGAGAAAGGGACCCTGGTTCCCTTACAAAAACCTGATTCATACCTGAGTCCTGGGGCAAGGGTCCCAAGTTCCTTGCCTCACCACCGTCCAGCTGCACTCCTGTACCCATAAGGTCCCAGACCTGGAGTAACCAGATAGTATAAGCCTCACGCCCTCATCACACATTGTCTTTGTGCAGGTTACGGAGACTTTTGTACATCAGGGACTCGGTGATGATTGTAAACTCTGGCTCCCCTGTGGGTTGTGAGGTTCCTCCATTCCTATACCTATCTGGGTGCTCTGCTTTCACCTTAGACTTCCTTGTTTCTACTGGGGCAGCTGTGCTGGCTGTGACTGCCTTTGTGGTTCAGCTGGAACCTGGACAGTTGTAACATCTGTGAGTTCCACAGCTGTACTATTACACTGTCCCTCTTCAAGGCAAAGGGCAGGTTTCTCTCCAGCTGGGAAAATGCACTCCTTCAGCATCTCTCGTATCTCCTTAACCAGAACCCTCACCCAATCTGGGCGGTTCATTTCTGAGGTGGGCTGTGGGGCAGGGTCAGGCTCTGGAGCAGCAGCATCTCGAGTCTCTGGGGCAGTGTCAGGCTCTGCTGCAGCATCCCTCGTCTCTGGTGTAGGTGTCAGGGTGGTTATCCAGGTTAATCTTCCTTTATCTCTGAGTGCTAAATATAACAGGCATATCAGCAACACCACCCATTATATTATATCATTAGCACTTAGAGTGGATCTTAACCCTTCGAAAACTGGTGCAGCAGACCCAAAAAGATGGTTAAAGGGTTGGGAGAAAATTTCCCCCAGTGTCATTTCCTTGCAGTAGGTATCATTATTAAAGTAACCTCAAAAACATACAGTTAGGGTGTGATAGCTCTGAATCCATGTACCTGCCTTCTAGAGGAAGTTAAAGATCCATGAATTCCTCACCTTATTAACCCCTAAGCAAAACTGGGTAACAGCCACAGTAGCCTTAGTTATAGAACCCATGTCTAGATAAGGGACTGCAAATGGGAGAAATACAGTTGCGACCACGTGCCGCCCAAACCAGGGTAAACTAGACCACATAGTGACACTTAAAGATATTTCTGTATCAGCATACACACAAAAAAAAACAAAAAAAAAACTTAAGAACTGTTAATCCTTTTTTCCCTCTCAATGCCCTCGAGCCTCACATTGGGTGCCAAAATCTGTCTTGGTTTGAAAAGACAGGAGTCTGTGAAGGAAAGAAAGAGCCTCCTGTGAAACGGAAAAGGTAAACCCCCTCCCTCCAAATTACCACAATTTCAAAATTAAAAGGCTCTCAGGTCAAGATATGGGAATGGAAGTAACAGTTCTTTACTAGGAAAAACAAAAACTAAATTTAAAAAAAAATGTAATTAGTACAAACAAAACTAGTGATAGAGTCAGAAACCTGACACCCTGAGGAGTCAGGATGTAGGTAATAGTTCAGTTAAATGGTGGCTGCTCCTGCAGTGGCAGATGAAATGCTGCTGAAGAGGTGGTCTGTAGAAGGGTGTAATTTTCTCTGAAGGTCTGGTGATGGAGTAGATGGGCCTGGTCTTCCCCTGGGGATCCAGCGGGGAAGAAGCTGCTCCTCTGGGAATCCAGCAGAGAAGAAGCTGCTCCACTGGGAATACAGCTAAGGGGCTGCTCTGATGTTCCAAAAAGTGCTGATTTTATGCAGGTTGGGATGCTTGGCTCCTCCCTCTGGGTGGAGCATCTCACAATGGGATGATGGAACTTTACCAGTCATGCAGTGAGTCATTCAATGGCCAATTAACAGAAGATCTCTCCCCAGAGGGAGACATTGTTCTTGGAAGAGATAAGAAAACTGCCCAACCTCTAACAGATGGCAAATAGAATACATGCTGATCTTACAAGCCAGGACACATGTGACTCATGATAAAACCTTCACCTCTGTTTCTTGTTTCTGCCCATTCATTCAAGAGGCATAAATTATATACAGTGAATTGGATAAATCCTGTCTTGCTGTGCTGGCTAAAGTATAAATCTGTTGCTTTCTCTGGCTTGAATTTGGAGTGTGACTGTAGAGCAACAATAATTAGTAAAATTTCACACCACAGAGAATATGTACCAATTTGTGTTGGAAAGGATGGATAAATATAATTGCCTGGCAAAGGATTCACAATAGTACAGTAAGGATGAAAACAATCCCCCCTACTGGCTGGACAATACCCTTACCTACAGATAAATCCAAAAGTCAAATGGACTGTTTGATCTCACCCCCCAAAATGTATGGTTCATCCCACACCTGTAACCCTACCCTGAAGCATCAAGTATCTGTAATCCCATTGGCCCAAAGTCTTGTTCCAGCCCACCTTGAAGCCCCCTGATAAGGGGTCTCCGAGGGGCCAGACGCCCTCTTGGATCTTCTCCCCTCTTAGAACTTCCACCCTCTCCTAGAGCATCCTCTCTACCCCTTGTCTCTCCCCTCCCCCATCTCCTCAAGCCTTGCCATGTGCTGGCAGCTCCAAGCAAGACCTTTCTCCATCCCTAATAAACCTGATATCCTAAGAGCAGCCTTCAGAGATCTCTTGTCTCCATTCATCTAAGCCGTCCTGGAGCACAGCATTCCCTACAAATTTTATACGATTTTATGCCAAACAATAAATGGCTTTCCCACGGCAAGCCCCAGTAGGAAAACCATCTCCAAACATCCCACCGGTGTTTCCCTGGTTATTCAGGGACACCAGAGGAGAGCAACACTCTTCCTGGATAAATCTCTTTCTAACAGTTGTCCTTTAGGCAATACTGATTCCAGAAGTTTCCCAACTCCCTCCAGAGTTCAGATAACATAACCTGATCCTAAATATATAAATCTATGTCAACATTTTCTGCCACATTATCAGCAATAATAAATTGGGGAGGAAAAAAAAAGGATGATAAAATAAAAAAAATCTCATTTGTTCCCCTTTATAATTGCTCTTTTTTGCTCCATGGGCACCGTAGGAACATTAGGAGACTTACACGAGGCAGGGGCTTGGCTCATTACCCATTGTGAGAACCCCAGCCTTGCTTTGGGGCCTCATGTGGTGGTGAAATTCCTCCTCCAACCCGTGCTTCCAAAGAAAAACTCTGCAGGCTTTAGCTGTTCGTTCTCAAGGCAGTTTATTGCTAGTTATCTAACAGATTATGTTCTTGGACTGCAGCTATTTGATCAGCGGCCTGGGTAGAGGCACACACACACCCTGACATCCTCTCCATCTGCTGTCTTCTTCGTCTCTCTCTCCGCCCAGGGCTGCTGCTATCTTTTATAAGATATATTACGTATAACATGTTTACAATTATTCCCCAATACCTACTACCTACGTTGCCAAGTGTTTTTCTCCTCTAAACCAATCTGTGAGTGCCAACATCACCAAGAACATGGAGGTAAGGAAGAAGAAGGAGGAAGGATGGGTTCAGCCCACTTTCCTCCATCTTAGAACTTCTGACCCCCATGTACAAAGTGAAAACCCCCCTGTACAGGTGTTAAAACCCCCCTGTACAATACTAAAAAAATTTCCCCTCTACTTTGTAACTACTTTTACTATACTATCTAACCTTTTGTGATTGCTTGTTCCACCTCCAAAGTTGGTAATTCATTCCATGGCTCAAACTCAAAATCACAGCTGTTTTTCAGTTGTCTGCCAGGGTCTAGAATGCTTCTGACCAAGGCCTGGAACCTCTAAAAATGTCTGAGAGACATTTTGAGTTCCCACAACCCATAAAAACAATTGCCACATGTCATTGAAATAGGTCATTAAATCCAGTCACAAAGAACCCAAAATTTAAGTATATAACTCATTAACAGCTTGAGCAATGAGCATTAAAAAAAAAAATAAAAGTAAAATAAGAATGAAAATATCAGTAATTTGGTTGTTTATACAGACAGCTAAACCTTGGTTTTGAGTTACAAAACATTCCCAAATCAGATTTAACCTGGGGGTGAATGATTAAGTAAAGGAACTGCTTTTGGGCATTTCTGATAATTTAATGTGTTCTTGCAAAACACTCAGTGAAGGGGCCATAATTTGATGGAGTTAACAAAATGTTGAATACTGGTGTCCCAGGTTATGATGTGGAGGGAAAAATGTTTGTTTGTAAGGTACATAAACCCTGATTTTTTATGATTTAATAATTTTATTTTTGAAGGGTAAATAATGCTGACACAGATTTTTGCATTCAGCTCTTGCATGAGAAGCCAGGGAGCTGCAGTACTGGAAGAAGAGCTGTTAGAGATGTTAGAGGGATGGCCATGGCCAGGATATGTCAGGGTCAGAAGTGCTGCTTAGAGGAGAAACATGGTGGGCTGAGATGGCTTTGAGTGAGTTTGCAGTGCACTCAAAAAAACCCAAACCCACGCAGAGATGAGCTGCAGAACAGATGTGTGGGCCCACTAATGTACTTCTACCCAGCTGTGAAGACTGGGTCTGGTAATGTCAGCCCTGATTAATTTTATATGTGAAAAGTAAATTGCTCAGGTATAAAAAAAATGCTGTATTTGACCTCCATAAATACACTTCAGCAATTAAAAAGTAATTGTGTTACATTTAGTTTGTTTTGCGATGGTAAATATGCGTCTTGAAGAATGTATACATGTCTCTCTGTTCATGTAAGCTATACAGCATGGCCCAGTAGCTTCAAAAATGAAGTGTAGGGTCAGAAATCTTTGCAATTTAATGCTGGCCCTAAAAATGTCTCACTTTGCAACAAAAAGCAAATAATCCAGACACTAAAGTTCCATATGTTACAACAAAAAATGAGTAACTAATACTTCTTTATTCACGTATGGTGCAATAATCCATCAGTTATTGCCTCTTCAAGCCTTGGGTACATCTGATATTTCACAAACATGGGTCCTGGCAGGAGATGGGAGAAGGATTTTGTTCGTACTCACTCTGTGGGAACTTTGGTGGGTTGTCATTGACATCTGTAAGTGTAATTGTCACTTTGGTTGTCCCTGAGAGGCCTCCCATGTGTCCTCCCATGTCCTTGGCCTGTATCACCACGTGGTACTCCTCCTTGGCTTCTCTGTCCATGTTGGGAAGGGCAGTTCGGATGATTCCTGCAGGCACAAAGGAAGGTGGCATGCACAGATTTAATGAAAACCTGGCTGCTGCATTTGGAGTGCATTAAGCACAGCAATATTTGCAGGGATGGTGGAGGTTCTGCTTTCTCTGAGCATTGCTGTGAGGAAAGCAGCCCTAATCTTCCACACAGAGGATAGGCCTGGAGAATTACAGCTGAGCACAGAAACAGCCTTTTAATCATCACAGCATACAGAACACACAGAAACAACATCAGCTTTCTAGTGTAGAAGCTCCAGCAAATGCCAGGAGACCAACCTGCAGCAGAGCAGGAAGCTTTGCTCAGACACAGCAGCAGCTGTGTCCAGTCAGTATGTTCAGTTCACTTCGATGCACTCTGGTCGTGAGGTGCCACTCAAAGAAACGGTTTAACAATACCTGTTTGAGCCTCCACCGAGAAGTAGGGTTGACCTTCAAGGATACTGTAAACCAATTTGGCACTGTTCCCATAGGTAGGGTCATCAGCATCTGAAGCTGTTACCTGAATAACTGATGTACCTAAAAATGGAGAGCAGAGGAGGAAGAGTCTGAGGCAAACACATCTGTAAGGGCCATGCAGAGATGCTTTCAGTCACACAGGAGAGCTGTTCCTAAATTTTTTTATTTCCATGTTTGGTAAATAAAAATCAAAATTACTTGACAATTTCTATATGACAAAATATACTCATATGATCTAAAAAGGTCTGTCACCAGCTGTGATGTGGATTAATGTTCTAACCAGTGAGGATATAAAAGTCAGCAGTCACCCTGCACCATTATGGTTTTTTCCCTCAGTAGTTTAAGCCTTATATTGCTTTTGTCATTAGACAGTCACACAATAGAGTTTTCCTTTACATTTTTCTCAGTAAGTTTCAGACAAATCATTCCTGTAGAAATCTCTGAGACAGATACAAGCCCAAATAGGAGATGAAAATGGAATAGATGGTGAGGCAGTAACTTCCCGGCTTTATTACACAGCTCTGCCAAAGGAATGATCTTTGTGTTTACCCCAGAGGATTCACAGTCCATAAATTCCAGTGGACTCTTATGCTCCTTTCTAGGAGGAAAAATAGTTTGATTCTAAGAAGGTCTCCCAGTTAGGAGCTGTGCAGGGTTTGATTTGGCAGCAGATTAAATACATCAAATGAATGATGGCTGAACACGAAAGTAAATTTTACTTCCCCAAATCCTTGACAAAAGGAATGAAATAAAGCTAAAATGTCCTGATGGTGCAGTACCTTCCCCACAAGGGCAGTGCCTTTCTGAGTACTCACCTACATTTGATCTCTCGGGCACATTGGCATGGTAGTTTTCATGGAGAAACTCGGGCGGGTTGTCATTTATATCTTGAACTTTGACAATGAATTCAGAAGGGGGTTCCAAAGGTCTGTTTGTGTTCCTGTCCACAGCCTGAGCTGTCAGGGTGTACTGAGCTCTCTCCTCCCGATCCAGTGTCTTGGTTGCATGAATGTTCCCTGATTTGTCATCAATAACAAAAATGATTCCTGCTCCTTCACCTGAGAGAATGTATTTAATGTTTCCATCTCCAGAATCAATATCTGAATGAAGCTACAAAAGGAGAAACAGACACACCTTAACAAGAGAAAACACATTTCCTGGATGTGCTTGTAAAACAAAGAAGTGAAGGAAATTGCTATAATTTCACAGTTTTCAACAATTGTGGCTTCCATCAGTCATTAATCCACACTCAGGGACATGCTGTGACCACAGGCACCCTGCCTCCAGGGCAATGCAAGCCCAGACATGCCTTCTGTCACATGCAGGACTCTGCTAAACCCAAAATTTCAGATCTAAGGAAGAGGATATACAAGAAGATGCTTATAGCAGGTTCTTTATTTGCATGAAGTTGGTAGGAGTAATTTTTGCAAAGATTTTGTACACTTCAGTGAACCACGTTCTACTGGGTTGCATGTAAAAAGCTGTTAAATGACAAATAGGATGAGTTAAGTGATAAATGAATGAGCCCAGCTGTGCCCAGGTGTGTAAGAAGGCCATGGGCACCCTTGGCTTGTAGCAAGTACAATGTGGACAGCAGAAGCAGGGCAGTGACTGTCCCCTGTACTGTGGGCACTGCTGAGGCCACACCTCGAAGGCCGTGTCCAGTTCTGGGCCTCCCCATTTGGGAAGGACATGCAGGGGTTGGGGGTGTCCAGGGAAGGGAACGGAGCTGGGAAGGGGCTGAGCCCAGGAGGGGCTGAGGGAGCTGGGAGGGGGCTGGAGAATCCCTGAGGGAGCTGGGAGGGGGCTGGAGAACCCCTGAGGGAGCTGGGAGGGGGCTGAGCCCAGGAGGGGCTGAGGGAGCTGGGGGGGCTCAGCCTGGAGCAAAGGAGGCTCAGGGCCCTTGTGGCTCTGCACAGCTCCTGCCAGGAGGGGACAGCCGGGGGGTCGGGCTCTGCTCCAGGAACAGGGACAGGAGCAGAGGGAACGGCCCCAGGCTGGGCCAGGGCAGGCTCAGGTGGACTCCAGCAGGAATTTCCCCATGGAAAGGGTGCTCAGGCCTTGGCAGGGCTGCCCAGGGAGGTTTGGGGTGCCCATCCCTGGAGGTGTCCCAGGAAGGGCTGGAGGTGGCACTCAGAGCTCTGGGCTGGGGACAGGGTGGGCATCGGGCACAGCTGGCACTCCATGGCCTTAGAGGGCTTTGCCAGCCTGAATGATTCTGGGATTCTGTGTGATTCTGATTGCCAACTAATTTTTAATTACACCCTCTCTAATATAAAAGAGGAAACAAATGCTTACTAAACATTCTTAATTCCAAAATCTGTGCACATTTCAGTTTGATGAATGAGGGAAACATTGAACCAAATTACAGATTTATTGATTTTATATTGACAGCTACAAATTGCACCATTTTAAACCAGAATACCCAACACGGTATTTGCTGACACTGATCCTGTTTCTCTACTCTTTTTGTGCTGGGGTTAAGTCAACACCATTCTGCTGCCCATTTAGAAACTGGCAAATATTCTGGTTTATTTACCTGTTTATATTTTACTAGTGTTAGACAATAGCAGAATAAAAAAAATCAGTCCAGGATATGTGTACATACACACGTACACGCAGATATTTACCTTCCTCTATACATAGTCCTCAATATATTTAATTGTACTGATAATTTGAAAATGAGAGGATAAAAAGATACCTATTTTACTGAGTTAATGGGTTAGACATTCAATTTTTAATTGCTGTCTTTAAAGACTTGAGAATTATATTCTTGAGACATATTTTTTCTCCATTTGTTGGTGTGGTTCTTGCTGCTTTGCTGAGTAACTGCCTGCATACCATTCAAGGACTGCTGAGGTCAATGGAAATATTTGTATTGACTTAGGTAGTATTTTGCTTAGCAAAACTGAGCTACCAGAAAATGAAGAACCAGCTTATACAGCACAAAGGCAACAACAACAACAATAACAACAAAACCACAAAAAAACCCACCACTAAACCACCTCAAAAAGAATAAAAATTAAGAATATTAATCAATGGCTGAAAAAGGAATTCTTTCTTACCCTTCCTACCAGCACAGGATCTGGTCCTGTGTACTCTTCTATAACGAAGAACTGGTTCCACACCCAGCCTCTTTTGGAGCGGTGCAGGACTTGTCCCTCCTTGCCCTTCTCGTGGTGCCCGTGCAGCGAGGGCCGGGCGCGGCTGAGGTGCTCCATGGTCAGGCCGTGGCTGTAGCACAGCACCCCCAGGCAGAGCAGAGCAGCGTGTAAACAGTGGTCCTCCTTCATTTTTGGTTAGTGTGTAGGCACAGGAGTATCCGAGATTCTACCCCTTCCACCTTGGAAGTCAGAAAGTCTGGAGCCACTGAGGAGTTTCAGACCAACCCTTGTGCACATCGGATTCCACCACGCATTAAACACATCACCTTAATGCTCTGCAGCTTCCCAGCTCAGTTTCTGGAAGAAGGGAAAATGGAAAAAATCATCAATTCTTTGAGGACCTTGTAGGGTTTTTTATTTAACAAAACAAAACTAAGACTGCAAAAATGGTATATATCAAGATAAGAAGACTAGAATGAATACATGAATGTTGATGAAATCCTGAGTAATGGTCAGATTTGGTGTTTGGCTGCATGCAGCTGCCACCTTGCAGAATCTCCTGGCTGGCTGGTTTGGCCACTTAGTGACTGGAAGTTGAAGGCTGTCTTTCATATTTTCTCATGATCCTTTCAAATAGATTTAGCCCAAGATGCAAGGTAACTGTAGAAATACCTAATTTAGACCTTATCCCTCTTTAGAGCTTAGATATAAGCCTTAGATACAAGATGCTAAGGCAGAGGTCCAGATATAAGGGAGATCCCAAGACTTATCAGAAATGCAATATTTCTCCACCAGCCGTTTCATGATCAACACATCCTTGTGCTGAACATAACCATCCCTGTTTTTTAATGGGCAGAAGCAGGGGCTGGCAGGCCTCCAAGGAACTCCAGTTTGGATTTAAACCCTAGAAGCACCTCTGAGGATCAAGGCACCATCAGCACTGATTGCTAGTGTGATGCATTCAGATATTTTTGATAGTATAACAATTGATTTAACTATTTGTTTTTACTTTCCCTGGGTGTCAAATTACCAGGATTACATTGATCTCCTACTTTCTAATACTTCTTAAAACACTAGGTCAGATTTAATATTCGAGGGAGAAATAGAATTATACAGTGGAACCTGAACTAAGCAGTCCTTAATCCATCATAAAGGCCACTTTCACTTATCCCTGGGTTTTCCAACATATTCTCCTTGAATCTTTACACAACAACAAATTTTTCAAGGTCCCTAAAATGTTTGGTTAATTCTTGGTGTGATTCATTTTACTCTTCTGCAAGAGTAAAAATCTTGACATTATATTTATACAGGCAAATGTATAAATATGTACCACCATCAACTGTAAAACAGAATGATTTTTAAATGTGAAGTAAGGAGATGTTAATGGTATTTTCAGCAGAGAAAATGTGAATATAGGCAAAAGCTTGAAGCTAAGCACATTCTGTAACTCCAGCCAGAGACAAACATCTCACTAGTCCCAAACCCACTAATTTAGGGTTGTCTTTCTCACATCCTGAGCAGTCATGTCCTCCTTACATATTCTGTTTACAGTTACATAAAAATACATTGGCTGACAGGGGTTCATGAATAAGGAAAGACATATTTTGGTTTATGTCCTGGTTTGTAAGATAAACTTGTATTCTATTTGCCATCTGTTGGAGGTTGGGCAGGTTTGTTATCTCTTCCAAGAACAATGGTGTGCTCCGAAGAGGTAATCGTTTGTTAATGGGCCATTGACTGACTCACTGCAGGGCTGGTAACGTAACACCATCCCATTGTGAGATGCTCCACCCAGAGGGAGAAGCCAAGCACTCTTTTATTGGATAAAAGGGGTACCTTTTGGGGGACAGAGCAGCTCTCTCTCTTTGCGGGATTCCCAGAGAAGCAGCTCCTTCGGCGGAACTCCCAGAGAAGTGGCCCCTTCGCTGGATTCCCAGAGGAAGACCGGCCCCACTGCCACCAGATCTTCAGAAAAAACTATACCCTTCTAAAAATCACCACTTCAGATGCAATTCATCAGCCACTGCAAGAGGAGCAGCTTCATTTCAACTGGACTGCTACCAACACCCCGACTCCTCAGGGTGTCAGGTTGTGGACTTTATCACTAGTTCTGTTTGTACCAATTGCATTTGCCTTTTTAAATTGTTATTTAGTTTCTCCTAGTAAAGAATTGTTACTCCCATTCCCATATCTTTGCCTGAGAGCCTTTTAATTTAAAGATCCTGGTAATTCGGAGGGAGGGGGTTTACCTTCTCCATTGCACCGGAGGCTTTTTCCCTCCTTCACAGACTCCTGTCTTGTCAAACCAAGACAGTTTATTTCCTCAAAAAAATATCAGTTTTCAATTTTATTATACTGAAAACTGAAATCACCTCAGTTACAGCACCAAACTGGCTCCAACATAATGAGTGAAATGACATTCTCACACATAAATGGAAATATAGTATGGTTTTCCCAAGCATATTTATTAAATAGCTTTGGTGTATCCATTTGACTTTTTCCTATTGTTACATGATGACACATTACAGATTACTCATGGATTACAGCATGGAACACATAGAAAGGAAAATAATCCCTGTGATTTTGCTCAGGAAAATTCTTACATTTTGACACAATGTACGTATGTGAAGTGCGGGGCATTAGGTCTGTGGTTTCTATTTCATGTCTCCTTCTTGCTGAGGGGTAAAAACAACAAAAGGCTTAAATGGTATGAAAATGGAGATTACACCTCTTTTGGATGCTTGTTTTGCACCCATCTTTGCATAGGGAAAAAAAACATGGTTGGGATTTGTGTTGTTGGGATCACTCATGTGCAGTAGTTAGAGGGGATTGGGCTCCTGGAATGTAATAAAGAATCTACATACTCTAAACATTGAATAGGAAAACATTCCTGGACAGCTGTGAATTTCTAAACCTGCTGTGAAAGAAAAAAAAAAGGTAAATAAACTTCTTATGTTAATAACTTGGGGTGCATTTGAAAATTAAACTCACTGATAGTCATTCATCTTTAGCATCACAGAATTATGTCAGCTACAGAGATAAGTAAACAAATCCCCCCACTCTTCTGCAACTTCTCAATACTGTTATGTAAACCAGTAAACACTTTTTAAAGCTGCTTAACCAGAATGGCAGAGCCAAGCAGATACACACACTGCTTATTATCAGGTATTCAAGTGTGAAGTGCTGGAAACAAAATGTTAATCACAGATCCATGCTTATTTACTAACAAGGATTTAAAGCAAAAATTGTTATCTTTTGTTTTATCCTGCATATGTCTATGTACAGAGATGAAGCAATAAGGCTCCATGTCTTCATCCTAAAGAAAACTCTTTTCTCTCACCCATCACTTTAGAGAATCCCAGAATCTCAGCATGGTTTGGCCTGGAATGGACCTTAAAGCCCCTCCAGTGCCACCCCTGCCATGGCAGGGACACCTTCCACTGTCCCAGGCTGCTCCAGCCCCAGTGTCCAGCCTGGCCTTGGGCACTGCCAGGGATCCAGGGGCAGCCACAGCTGCTCTGGGCACCTGTGCCAGGGCTGCTCACCCTGCCAGGGAACAATTCCTAATTCCCAATATCCCATCCAGCCCTGCCCTCTGGCACTGGGAGCCATTCCCTGTGTCCTGTCCCTCCATCCCTGGTCAATTGTCTCTGTCCAACTTTCCTGCAGCTCCTTCAGGCCCTGCAAGGCCACACTGAGCTCACCCCAAAGCTTCTCCTCTCCAGGTGAAAAATCCCAGCTGTCCCAGCCTTTCCTCCCAGCAGAGCTGCTCCATCCCTCTGCTCATCCTGGTGCCTCCTCTGGGCTCTCTGCAGCAGCTCCAGGTCCTGGCTGTGCTGGGCCCAGGGCTGGGGCAGCTCTGCAGGTGGGGTCTCACCTGAGCACAGGGTCAGAGGGGCAGAATCCCCTCCCCTGCTGCCCATGCTGGGCTCAGCCCAGGGCAGGGGGTTCTGGCTGGGTCAGGTCCCTCTTGGGCTAAAAACAAGTCCCTCAGGCTGTTTGTAGCAATTGATTCTGTTTTGGGTTGTAAAGGCAAAGGGCTCTGTGCTAGCAGCAGTTCCAAGCTGGCTCTTTAGGCAGTGACCCCCAGGTAAGACAGGCTGCCAGGAAAGCTGGAGCTGCAATAATCTGTCCCTGGCCTCCTCATGCCCCTTCTCCCCTCCTGGAGTTCATGCTCTGCTCGCTCACATCGTGTTCACTCCAGCAGTAAAACCTCTGACTCCTATCCTCAGAAAACCTAAAAAAGCATAAACCAACAGGCTTCCACTGAAGGCTGTGAAATTACTTAAATTCACACCAGCTACAGTCTGGATTTTCATAAACTACTTGTATGCTAAAAGACAAGGTGCACAAGATATTCTTAAGTTAAAGCTAAAATAAATTTAATTTAAAAATGAAGCAGTAGCTTTTACAAAAAAAAAAAATCCCAAAGCTTTTTTCCTTCATTTATTTTTCAAACTATCTATTTTAAACATTTCAAATATTTCAACGTTAACTCAGCTGCTGAAAGCCTACTGTTTCCTTCTACTTCAAGCAGAAAACATGAAAAAACAGCTAAACAATTTATAACTCAATTCCTTTTTCTCTTGGGGAAAGATACCTCATAATCCTGAGACTTTGGAATACAGATATGAGGATGGCAGTTGCTGCAGCTGCTGGGCTGCTGCTCCAGTGAGCGTCTGAAAATTCTGAGTGCAGTACTTGGATTCAGGCACTGCACAGATTTGTCAGACTGATTTGCCATGAATGGTTGCAGCCTTTTTTATAAGTCACAATCTTTGTGGTATTTGGGATCTCTGTCCATAGGTTATAATCCACAACTGCAGAAAATCCAGTCTCAGTGAGCAGTTGACGAAACTGCAGAACTGCTGCTTTTAGCTGGGATAGAGTTAACTTTCCTCCTGGTAGCTGCTCCGGTGGTGTGTTTTGGATTTAGGAAGAGAATGATGCTGATAACATACTGAAGTTGGAGTTGGTGCTGAGCAGTGCTCTACACTGAGTCAAGGACTTTTCAGCTTTCAGCAGGCTGCATGGGAGGCACCAAGAGCTGGAAGTGGACACAGCTGGGATAACTGACCCAGCCTGGTCAGAGGGGTATTCCAGACCATTCCACTGTGCTCAGCACATAAACTGGAAGGAGCTGGCCAGGTGTCTCTCAGGAGCTGTCTGGGCAGAAGTCTGTTAGTGGTGAGCAACTGCTGTGTGCATCACTTGTTCGGTGTATTCAAATTCTTTCCTTGTTGTTATCACTATTTCCTTCCTTTTCTGTCCTATTAAAGCGTCTTTATCTCAACCCATGAGTGTTCTCATTTTTACTCTCCCAAATCTCTGCCCCATCCCTGGGGAGTAGTGGAGAG